CCAATCTATAGAAGCGAATAGGCAGAAAAGGAGGGGGCATTCCAGAGGTTCTTACTGGTGCTCCTAAATGTGACTGGCAAACATGTGAGAAAAAACACAAGCGCCAATCCCTACACAACCTGGAGTGCTTTATGGTCCGTTTTTTTATTTAAAATAAATAAAATGATAAGACAAGCACCAATCCCCACACAACCCAGAGCGCTTACTGGTCCCTTTGTTTATTCGAAATAAATTAAATAACACAAGCGCCAATCACCACACAACCCGGAGCGCTTACTGGTCGCTTACTTATTTTACAATCAATAAAGTAAAGAGGCAAGCGACAATCACTACATAAGTCTGGGCGCTTACTAGTAGCATCAATTATTATTAAAAAGCATTAAATAATAATTCAACCGCAACCAGTGGTGACCAGTGAGTATCCTGAATAGTCAGGTGATAAGCACTTGCGTTGTTACTTGATAAATTTTATTGATTATTACAGCGACAGGAAGCACTCTGGGTTGTGTGAGGATTGGCGCTTGTGTTATTTAATTCATTTTAAATAAATGAAGGGACCAGTAAGCGCTCCTGGTTCTGTGGGGATTGGCGCTTGTGTTGTTTAATTTATTTAATTAATAAACAAAGCTGCCAGTAAACGCTCTGGGTTGTGTGGGGATTGGCGCTTGTGTTATTTAATTTATTTAATTAATAAACAAAGCTGCCAGTAAACGCTCTGGGTTGTGTGGGGATTGGCGCTTGTGTTATTTAATTTATTTAATTAATAAACAAAGCTGCCAGTAAACGCTCCGGGTTGTATGGGGATTGGCGCTTGTGTTATTTAATTTATTTTAAATAAATAAAGAGACCAGTAAGTGCTCCGGGTTGTGTGGGGATTGGCGCTTGTGTTATTTCTCACATGTTTGCCAGTCACATTTGGGAGCACCGGTGAGAACCTCTGGAATGCCCCCTCCTTCTCTGCCTGCTCGCTTCTCCAACACTCTATGAGGCTCTTTTACAGTCAAGCTTGAATCAGATGGCGCCAGGGTACGTCGCGGCTGTCATGGCCGTCTCACTCACACAACATTACTTTTCAGTATTGTATGTATACAGGAAATTAAAGTGTAGTGGTAAAGCACAATATTTGAAATTTTTAAATGAATAAGGAAGACAAGAAAGAATATTATGGGAGCTTGGAAGTTTTAGAATTGAAGAAGCTTTTAAAAGGGAAAGGAGCAAGAGTCAGTGGAAGAAAAGCAGAACTCGTGGAGGCAAAGTGGTCGAGGCATAAGCCATGACTTGGGAGCGGCAAAAATGTTGGTCTCCCAATTGCTTCGAGCCACTTTTTTTTTATCACACTTTCAGAAGAAAATTTAAAATTACACTTTCTTATCGCAGGATATTACACTGCACTTTATTTTTCCTACTATCTTTAAACGTAAATTCAAACAAAAATTGTCTGCAAACAACAGCAATCATTTACAAAGGTTATGTCTTCTGCTTTGCTCATCACACAGATAGGCTCATGGACACAACACACAACTGTAAATTGGACGGTGTGTAAGTGCGACGGCCATGACAGCCGCGACGTGCCCTGGCGCCATCTGATTCAAGCTTGACTGTAAAAGAGCCTCATAGATTGCCACGTTAGTGACAGTTACTTTAATGTTACTGACCGTAATTTTCACTGCGGGAATCCTCTTAACCGGCTGTGTGACATGGGCACCCGAACTGTTTCTAAAAATCTGCAAAAATAGCCAAAAAATTGCGCGTAATTTCCTCGAATTTCCGCTACTTGTAAAACAATTGCGCGTTACATACTTCTGTAGTAATTAATTATTATTTGCGGGTGCTGGGTAAATTTTCAATCATCCATTACAATAAATCTATCACACGCAGCTTAATTACAAGAACGCCATTAATTTCCGCGTAACACGCAGAATAAAATTGACTCTTGAGTTGTTATAAACTATTAACAGTTATGTAGTGCGCAAATATTTATTTATTTGCGTATTACCATGTCAACTATACTATATCTATATATATGTTGAAATACGCATGCGCGAGAAATTCGCTCCAACAAAATCGTCTTCATCTGGGATGTTATGAAAGCCTATATATATATGTAGTAATACATACACTGATAGGTATACACACTATAGTGTGGACTGTTAAAAGTTTTGGAGTTTGGACTTTGGAGTGTATAGTATACAAATAAAATAAATATACGGCTGTTGTCAAATTTCGGTTTTAATTAAATAATTTGTATTTATTATTGTGTCTAGCGCCAGTGAGGGCGGCATCACTCATACTGCGAACTGCGAACTGCGAGTCCTGTGTATTTTTGCCTGTAAGTCCTCTAATCGGTAGTATTAGAAAAATATATCTTGTATAACCGATATAACCCCTTTTCAGAGGACAAAGTTTGCCCACCGACTGAGCACCGCGTCGTCTCTATCTACCTATTGTTCTTGAAAAGAAAGCCAGTAAGGTATCGCTTAAGGCCTCGTAGACGACGGTCCTCCGATTTTCTTGCTCTCAGAGATCCGTACAGCGAGTTCAGCTGGCCACGTTGACGAATAGAAAATGAAGAAGTTTGGCCGCTTCTTAAGTTTGGCTGCTTCGGGCTGCTTAAGCTCATGCAGGCTGATCCCACCCTGATCGGTCGCATAATGCCCCTGACTTTTGAGCTGCACATCTTCGAGGCTACTGCCAAGGATGCCATTGGCATTGTATCTCACGACAGTGATACTGGGGCCAAGTGCTGTATCGCCAGGACTGAGAATCAAGTAATTACGTATCTGAATCTATTATCTTAAAAATAAATTTAATTCTACTTGGGTTTACAATATCT